TTCGAACTTGTCCAAACTTGTTCAAACACGACACGGATATTCGCACCACGCAAGAACAACGTACTTCTCGTGGATCACGATCCCGCGGGAACACGCAGAGGGGTATGCAGGTCCGTTTTTGGAGGAGCATGGTGTGCTGTCCCATTGGTCGTCGGTTCGATGTCATTGGAAGCGCCAACTACAAATTTGAATACCATCCACACGCGATCCACGATCAGGCGACCTCTCATCTGGCACGTGTCTGCGATAAACATGGAAGTACCTCGTCACGATTCCAATATGCGACGCGCGTTGGACACGTCCTTGCGATATTTTTCTTGAAAGTGTGTGGTCCATTAGCCACAGCGAGCGGCGGCAGAACATCCGCCCAGGCAATCACGACGTCTCGTATGTCCTGCATGCGGTGCCTTGGCGAGGAGTCGCAATTGTGCGAGTCACCCTCTCGTCGGGAAAGTGGCAGGCTAGCCCTGAGGCTGCACCCGATTCCAATGTCGTGGAATTGCCCTTTCACGAACGATCTAAAGTCGTTGTGGCGTATCTGAAGCATGTCGCATGGATGTGATGGACTTGTATTCTGGGACGATTCCAATGTCGTAGGGGAGAGTGCACCTTGTCACACCGACGGGTTGGTTTGGAACATCTCATCGCCCACCCCTTGACTCGTTGTGTTGCCATTTTGCAATTCACGTCGACATGACCAAGTTCCTCGCCCTCGCTACCCTCTCCGCGTTTGCCGCCGCCCGACCCGAAATCTTCGGCGGCATTGAAGTCCCCAAGGGCCAGTCCACGTACGTGGCGAGTCTCCGTGAGACCGAGGCCGGTCCAACCTTGTGCGGAGCGACCTTGATTGCCCCCAAGGTACTCCTCACCGCCGCTTCCTGCGTCGACTTGTCGCCCTACTACGCGTCGATCGGATCGCACTTTTCGAGCGGTAACCAGGACGGCGAACGCATCAAGATCGTCAAAACAACTGTGCACCCGATGTACAACAAAGACACGTCGGGCTACGACATTGCCATTCTTGAATTGGAAACCGCATCCAAATTCACTCCCGTCGCCGTCAATTTGAAAGAAGACGCTGCGACTGATCCTGGCGCCGTGTCGTGGATGCGTGGCTTCGGCAAAACTACGTCTTTCAAGAAGGACAACTCCCCCGTCCTCTTGGAAGCCGAACGCAATATCTTGTCCAACGACGAGTGCCAAAAGGCGTTGGAACATGACTTCGAAGCCCTCGAATCCGTGGTGTGTACTACTAGCGGCAAGGGCCCGTGCGATGGCGACATTGGCGCACCGTTGATCATCGTCCGCGACGGTGTCGAGTACGTTGCCGGTGTGTCGATATCGGAGTATACTTGCGCGGACATTAAGCTCCCTAGTGTGTACTCGCGCGTGTCGGCCGCCCGCGAGTTCATCAAACCATTCTTGGCTGACACCCTCCCCCAAACCCCAAGCCTGCTTGCTAAGTAGTCGATGTTGTATAACGCAGTTGTACTTGTCCATACGAATGCTGTTTAGCTCGCGCAAAACTCGTTGGTCGCATCCTAGTATGTCTGTGGACACCGTGAAGAAAACCGTCCTCAGTCCCCTGGTGCTCAGCTTTCATATCCTGGTCAGGGCAAAAGAAACCAGTCCTTGGTGCCAGCCCACTGGTTCACAGCTGTCATATCCTGGTCAGGGCTGTTGTCGCCTGTGCTGTGAGAATGAATCTGTTGAGAATGTTGCTCGCTTAGAGCGACA